TATTATATATATTTTGTATATGATATCAGTCTGGTAGCTCCAAATATTTACTTGATTGCAACATTTAATTCTTGAAGATGCAGTTGAATTATGGAAGCTTCAGTCAGCAGTCAATTTTCTATTACTCTGAAAAAGTAATTTTTACAGGGTATCAGGCAGCTGGTTTTGGGCTTTGATTTAATTGAAACTTTTGCAATGATTTCTTGGCTGTTTTTGCTTCAATAGATTTTATTTTAATTTTATTTACACTCATTTTATTCTCTACTCTCACATAGCTCTTTGTCGGGTTCGCCCAGCATCGTTTTTGTGGCCAATTTGGGCAGTAAGGGCATCACCGTTGATCTTGACCAGTTTGACCAGACCTTGCCAACGCATTTGACCCTGAAAATACGCAGCATTAGCTCCACCAAGGCAGAGGGGTAAGTCGACAGCTTGGTTAAGCAGTTAACATACTTTTATTAACATTTCGTTTCTCCTTTCAGTTCTCTGTTTGAGACGAAAGGCCTCAGTTTGGCCGCTGGGGAGGCGCTGGTAATGAGCACCGATTAAGCGCAGCAAAGTTCTTCAACCTTTGCATATATATATATAGGTATATATTTTTAAGCTTAACCAATTAAATTTTACAATCGCACACTTGAAAAACTTTCGACAGCTTTTCGTCTTCTTGGTATTCTTATGGCTGCAAAGCAAATATGCCGCTACTTGTATAAATAAATAAGCAAATAAATCGACAAACAAACCACACACACACACACACGCACACATACACCGCACTTAATAGCATGCTCACACACACACACGCACACACTTATATACATTTTTCAGATAGGCTCAAGTGCTCGAGTCACTCATGTAATTTCCTGCAAAAGCGCGGGGGTCGCTGCTTAAAGTGTTTACACACAAATTAAAGTCAAGCCGTAAAGCGTCTCGCATTTGACTTTATATTTTTGCCGTTGCTCTTGTTTTTGTTTTTTTGTTTTTTTTTTTATTTTATTTATTTTTTTTTTTT